ACGTGCCATCTGTAACCCCAATCCTGAGCATAGCTGGAGACCAGTGACTCCCAAGGGCTTGGTGGCCAGCAGTCTAGCTAAACTGGTGAAATCCAGATTCAGCCAAAGACCATGTTTTTGGAAAACTAAAGGTCCAGCAGTAGAGGAAGAGATCCTGATGTCAGCCTCTGACCTCCTCACATCCTCCTTTTTCCCCTCTCTGCCTCCCTGTCCCCCTCTCTCACACATAACACAGCAAATATTTGTTCCAATATTCACCGAAGAGCCCTCTGCCGGCCTACTCCATCAGTGGGGTCCAGACACCTGTGTTCCGACAGCCTCCAAGTGATTCTGATCCATGTCTAATTTTGAGACCCACAAACGTGCATCAGATGCTAGAAACTGCTGCTGACAGACCCATATAGGATGGTTAATATCGATTTTAGACCTAGTTTACTCCTATTGATATTTTGCTTGCTGCGGTCCTATTTTGTCCATTTCGCCTCTCCAGATCATAATTTTTCTCAATATAGCAACCACTTTGTATTCTCAGCCTTGTTCTACATGGGCATTTAATATGATTTGGTACCCCCAATCATGCTCTGCACACTCCATTAAATCTTTATATCATTACATGACGTGATGTTGAAAATATTAACTCACCTCCCTGCATGTCTTGGTAATTCATGGCCCACATCCATTCAAGCAGCTAGCCCACGGGGCCCTGCAGGGCCCCACAGGAAAGGGGCTCTGTACCTTCAACACTCTCAACCTTGAAGCTTTGTCAGGAAGGACGGCCCTGAAGAACAGTGAGTCCCTGTGTAGAGGCCATATCTTTTTGCAGCTGAGAAAAAGGAGAAGTCACCTTCCTGAGATGTAGATTGTCTGTAGATCTGTGAAGGCAGGGCTTGTCTTTGGCTCCTGGGCAAACTCCTGGAAGTAGGCAATACGCTTGAGGAGTGATGGCTATGAGGGTGTGTCTAGGAGACTATAGTTCTAAGCTACAGAAAGAACATTAGCCGAAAAAAGAATGCCGATGCTTCAGAATCAGTCAGGAGTAAGCAGAATGGATGAGAATGTACTGACTTTCATGAGTGTTTTCTACCTACCTATTTCAACTTTTTTAAAAAAGCAAGCAAATTAAAGAAAACTATGAGAGCTATTTAATTGAACTTGACTTTTTAACTATGCAAAGAGTTCCAAACACTTAAAGGCATTTTATAATCTTTAATATGTTATCATCCTGAATAGAAGCTTAGGCCATCAGACACGTGGTGGTTTTTGTTTTGGTGTGTTTGCTTGCTACAAGACAGGGTCTCACTACACAGCTCTGGCTGTCCTGGACCTCACTAGGTAAGAGGAGGCTGGGCTCACGCTCACAGACCCACTGCCTGCACCTCCCGAGTGCTGGGATTAATTAAAGGCGCCATGCAGCACTGCACTGGGTTAAACAAGCATTTTAAAAACACCTCATTTTCCAAAGGGTTAAAAATAAAAAACCAAAAAACCTAAACGTTAACAAATTAAGAAAGATTTCTTGCTCTTCTGGTCTCTCTGGCCTCCGAGGCAGAAGCAAGATGTCGAAAGGAATATCATCCTTTGGAAAGCATCGCAGTAAGGCACACATTGTACCGCTGCTGGGGCTCGAAGGCCGACTACCTTCAGAAGTCCACCTGTGGCAAATGTGGCTACGCTGCTGAGCGCAAGAGAAAATATAATTAGAGTGCCAAAGCTAAGAGACAGAACCCTACTGGGACTGGGTGAGGCACCTAAAAACTGTCTATCGCAGATTCGGGTGTGGATTCCGTGAAGGAACACCTAAACCCAAGAGGGCAGCTGTTGCAGCAGCCAGTTCATCTTGAGGCTTTCGGTCAGTCATAAAATAAATAGTCTGCTTTCAAAAAAAAAATTCTCATTAAAATTTTCATATTTGGAAAGTAATACTCGGAGAGATGGCTCAGTGATTGAGGGCAATGGCTGCTCGTCCAGAGGACCAGGGTTCAATCTCCAGCACCCATGTGGCAGCTGACAGCCATCTCTGACTGCAGTTCCAGGGTATCAGACACCCTAACACAGACATATAAGCAGGCGAAACACCCATGAACATAAAATAAGAATAAATTTAAATAAAAGGAAAGCAACACTTGCTCATTTCAGATTAACTTAGAAAATTCACAAAAATATCAGGAAGATAAGTGAGCAGCCAGCGGTGACCATAACTTGGTATATTTCTCTGTGATTCCTATGATTCTTTTCCTTACTAACGTCAAAATCATGATATATGTAGATTGCTTTCTGTCTTCCCACATAATACCTCACGGTATTTTTCATTGTTCTTTGAATGTTTCAGGTCCAAAATAATATTTGAATGCTTAACTGTCATTAGAATAGATTATGGGTATATCAAGTTAACGATTTCCTCATTGGAGGCGTTTTGTTTTTTTGTTTGTTTTTGCAACTGTAAAAAAGTAATACAAACAAGCTGCAATCCCTGATTATTTTCAGGAGATAGAGTGCCACAGCATTGATATATATTTATTTTAAAATTGTTTGCTCTGTGTGTGTGTGTGTGTTTGTGTGTATACACTTAAGTGGGGAGGCCAGAAAAAGGTGTCAGTCTTAAAAAGGTGAGCCACCCAGCCTGGGTGCTGGCAACTGAACTCAGGTCCTCTGCAAAAGCAACCGCTCTTGACACTGTCCCCGCCCCACTGTGTGGTGAAGCATTTGCTTCATTACAGCTCTAGAAAGTCCTGGATATTAGCACTTAAAAATATTCTATAATATGGCAACATCAATAGGCCTCTATTTTTCTTCGGGTTGGGGGGCTTCAAGACAGGGCTTCTCTGTGTAGCCCTGTCCTGGAACTCGTTCTGTAGACCAGGCTGCACACTTTCTCTTAACTAGTGATTAGATCAAACTGAGTCATCATTTTCTCCATCAAACAGCGCTGCCTGGTTGAGCATAGTGAACTGTCCCTAGCTGGCCATTCTGTGTCTTCTGGGTGTCACTGTTTCCTTGCTGCTCCTGCTCAATGTGCCCATTACTAACATGTTCCATTAGCTGCCTCGTAATTAAGTATGCAACTTAACAAAACACTATGTAAAACTGTAGAGAAGTGCTCCCAAAAGCAAATGGCTCAGATATGCTGCTGATGATCACAGGTGAAAAATACCCCCCTGTATATGCAGGAAAGCATGACGCACAGACTGTGCCCACTCCTTTGTAAATGCTGTTAGATCACACTCCACTCTGAAGAAACCAGAATCTAAGTCCAGTGGTTTCAGCAGGGCAGTACTGACCCCTAGGGGTTATTCTGGAAATGTGTGGGGGCCATTTTCAGTTGGTTTTACTAGTGGTATTTAGTGAATAAGAAATAGAGACCTTTAACATCCCAAAATGGTTGGCATGTCCCATCCCAGAGTATTCAGCTAAGTAAAATCTGGATTTATTTTTTCCTCTCAAAGAAGTGATATGTGATTCCCCAGTTTGGGGTTTCACATAATTTTCTTCTGAAGAGTACAGTGAAGAAAAGGAGGTATGGAGAGAAAACACTTCTTTCAGAGAAACCTGACAAACATAAGCTCAGCAGGCCATGAGGTAAGAGGGCATCTCACCTGCGGCCTTCCACCTAAACATACAAAACCTCACTTTCATCGTCATTGTCACACAAAATCAGAAAACCCCAATTGCAAAAGTCTATAAAATACCTAACATCTCATAATATTGGTCTTGCAGAAGAGAGATGACAGTTCGGCTACGGAGCCTTGGGGAGCGTCTTCAGTCCTCTATCTAGACAGGTGAGGAAGCCCAGGTTTCTTTCACCAGACGCTGTTGACGCACACGGAGCACTCAGACTGGTGTCAGCCATCTTTGATGTTTATAGACACAAAGAGAAAAAAACATTAAGTGATGGGATGAGCAAGCTGGAGACATCTGGAGTTCTTGCTGGCCAACTGTGCACTGCTCGCTTTTGGGCCTTTCCATGAACCAACAGCATCTCGGGAGCACAGTCCTCTCCGCAGACACGTTGTCAAGTTCTGTGTACTATACGCTATGCAAAGCTCTGGGGTCCTACTCCCCAACATGACACTCAGATGAACTCTCTAAAAGGCAACTCACTTCTGGTGGAGCCTTCTGGAATGGGGAGAGCGTTCTGGCAAACTTCTACCGTGTGAGGACATAGACAGTGACAGTGTCCTGTTGGTCAGGAGGACCCTCACCAGACACTGCGTCTGCTGTTGCTTCACCTTGAATGTTTAGGCCTCCTGCAGTACAAAAAAATAAATGTTTCCGTTACCTGGTCTACAGTACTTTTGTTATGGCAGCCTAATTATGACCAAAGTCATGGTCCAAATGCTCCATGGGGAAGCCACGGTGATTCTTCAGGCCCTGGCTTTTTTTAAGCACCATGCTGTGGCAGTCCCAGCACACATGGGCAGGTCTGCAGCACTCTCGGGGACTGAGTGCTAGCAGAGTACTGCTGTCTCGCCATGGGGCAGCAGAGTCCCACGCCCCCATCCATTCTTCCCAGGCAAGTGTATTTGAAAGTGCACTGTTCCAGTTCCTGCCAAGGCCTGGCCATGGACATCCCCCCACTCCGCCCAGTGCATACAGGAATGAACTTAAGGAATGACGATTACCTTTTGGCAAGATTCACTTAGCAAGCAGTTTCCCCAAACACCCCTTCCACCCCCCGAAATAAGGTTCAAATGGTTAGATGAACTGGGTAGGTCCAGTATTAGAATCCACTTGGTGATTTGGGCACTGGACATTTGAAACTGGCTGTCATAAACCCCTGTGGCCCGCCCTTTGATATCTGGCCTTTCTTCTGAATGTACTTAATTGCCCTGAAATCCTTTAATTCTTATTTTCTTTCGCAGAGTTCTTCCACCATACAAACTACCTGGCTTACAGTTTGTACAGAATTGTGTGTCCCTGGTTCAGCGTGAACTTACAAGACCTTTCAAATTCTTTCAGCCCTCAAGCGCAACCTTTTACACAAAGGACTCACTACACAGAACTTTACATATTAAACAGCGTTAGTTTTATTTTAGTCTATGATTTGTTTAAACTGCTCACGTAAATCCTTTTCACCCCAAAAAGAAAGAACTTGACATTGTCCATCCACGTTTTCCACTACAGCTTGCAGAACATTTCCGTGTTGTTTGACCTCAAATTGGGTTTGATCCTTCAGTCACAAGTTTTCCAAATTGCCTGTTAGAATCCATCACTTGTCAGTCAGCAGGGACGACCACAGAACTCCTGATGTCTGACTTATCACTGAACGTACTTATCCTAAGTGCTCACAGCTTCATGAAGACCCGGCGGGAAGCCTCACTCACACAGGCAGCCCCTAGAGCAGCCTTGTACTATAGACGTCTGTGCTACTTCTGCTACGATGTTCAAGCCCGACAGCCAAGGGCACAAAGCCAAACTCACTGCAAGGTTCCCAAGAGAGGACTAACACGGAAGGTACCGGGAGACATAATCCAGCTGCAAGAAACGATGACACCCGAGCGCTCAGGCCTATCAGGCTACTTTGTGGTCTAGCTGCTTGCTGTTCACACGTATCTGCAGTATTCATTCACATAAAGCATGCCACAGCCTCGCCCACTGTCTAAGCACCCGGTAAAGTTAATCCCTTCCTCCTCCTCACTCCCAGAAAAGTTTGGTTAGTCCTTGAACTTTGAAAGTACTTTATACATATACATACAAAAAATAATTAGGATTTCCATCAGTGTCCTTGTCAGCATGATTCAGAATTGCTCGAAGGACTACCTTCTCTTTTGTAAGATAAACACTACACTGTTTGAAGTACGCACGAAGTTTCATTTTTCAGTGTTCTTTACTTTCCATTATGAAAAGTCTTTTCTGAGGAACTGAAACCCCAGAAGGTAGCACTCCCCAAAAAAAGAAAACGGTTAAAACAAAATTTTAAATGATGAATCAGAAACAGACTTGAGTCATTTAAGAGACAGGCGGTAGCAAATGTAGTCTCTAAAGGGAACTGTTCTAATTATTATCTAGAAAGTAAAGTCACACAACTTTGTCAAGGTCATAAGATAAAACTGTGGCTTGAAAATTAGGTTGACTAAACAGGAGGGGAAGTTTTTCAAAACCCGCTGAAACAGGACAATGAGAAGGATTTCAGAAAGATTTGAACTGGAGCGAAGATCCACCAGTCTTTGATGTGTCTGGTGCCTCAGCATCTTGAATTACGCTGTTTCTTGTCCCCATTGTCACCAACACCTCAAAGGAGCATTCTTACAGAATTAAATACTCGCTGCTATTTTGTTAGGATTCAGAATCTCAATCCAGTAGCCGTCAGGATCCTGAATGAATGCCAGACCTTTCATTTTACCTGTATAACAAAAACTTCTCATTACTAGAGAGGCACAATTAAAAAAAACAAACAAACAAAAAAAACCCATCTTTATTACAACTGTAATCTGCACTTGAATGAAAAAACACTGTCGACAGCTTTCATTCTAGAAAGTTTTCGTTACAGTGGTACCACATTTATCCTAATGCCTGGACTGCGACCTTCCAGAAGGAGCTGGAAACAGCTCTGTTAAGTGCCAGGTCCTTGCCTCACTTTGAGATTACCATGTCACCAATCACAGAAATTATTGAGGAAGGGAAAGAAGATAGAGGTGTGCTCCAGGGAGCAGGCAGTGTGGCCTCTGCACACAGCGGAGACCCCAGAGGCCTGGGTCATGGAAACCCTATTAAACAATGTACTAGGTAACCAAAGCCCTGTCAATCGGATTGTGACTCCTGGGGATTGTAACCGAGATGGAGTTGTTCACTTAGATGTATGAATGTGGCCCAGGAGATTGATTTATTTTGGGACTAGGATGCTGAATTCATTTGACTCTTGTGTCTGCCTACTGACCCCAAGGTCAAGGAATACAAATAGGGGTGAAAAAGAGAGGGTGGAACACAGTTAAGCAATCTCTGGAGTGATGATGGAAGAGTGGGTGAGCATGGCAGTGGTGATGTAACCTGACCCATAGAGAAGGTAGCTCGGAATCAGAACGTAAATTCTGAATGTGTGGCTGTGCAGGAATAAACAGGATGTTTGCCGCCACCTCCCCAAGGCAATCGACTCCCACCTTTCCACTAGGGAGGGCTCCACTGATTCCCAGATGTCCTCAAGAGTGAAGGGGGACACAGAGCTTGTCTGGTGAGAAGGCCAGAAAGAGTAAGCCTGCTGACTTCCTGTACTCTCCCCCTATATCCACAACAGGGCCAGATACAGTGGCTGAGGGGGAAAAGCCTCTGATAGGAAGAGCTGTCATTTCCAGTAGCAGGAAACTCGGCCCAGGGCTTATCCAGCCAGTCTTCCTGAGCTCACAGGAATCCTTAGGGACTAGTCTGCCAGTCACGTGGCCTGATGGATTACAATGGGTTACAGTTGTTGGAAAAAATAGCTCAGAGGCCAAACTAACATAATCTAGGAACATAATTATATATTAAGAAAAACAAAAAGAACAATGGATTATAGATTTGAATTCAACATGAAATATTATGTTGACATAATATTGGACAAAACAAAACAAACAATGGACAAAGGGCTATTAAGATATGTATAAGTGATGAGCACGATGAAGTATTACTAAGACAAAGAAAATGCTAGGTAGCCAAGGACTGAAAATGGTAATGACTAGACAAATCAGGAGGTCAGGCTTCAGAGAGGGACCCTGCCTCATTAAATAAAGTGAAGCGTACTCGGGGGAGATGCCCGCTGTCAACTGAGGCCTTACATGTACACATATACACCAAGCATACACACCACACACAGGCACAAAGAAAAAAAATGGAAAATTCAGAATAGGTAGATAATGTGGAGGAAAGTTAGTAACTGGCAAACAAAAAAGCTCCCAGGAAAAAAACAATATAAAGTACAAAGAAACACTACTTGATCAAGGGCTCTTGTATGCAGAATGACATTAAGGCAGTGTTTTCCAGACTGAAGGGAACGAACCTGGGCTTCTTAGCAGAGCTCACGCGCCTGTGTCTCGTTCCCCTGCCCCTGTCTCAGAAAGGTAACTTCAAAAACTTTTGCAAACTGTCCTGGTTGAGGTAATAAGGAAAAGTCTGAAAAATGCTTCAAGAGAGAAATGGAGAAAAGATTTCATGATACCATACTATAGTATCTTTGCAAAAATGGAAGACCAAAGAAAAAGAAAAAAAAATCAATAAACCAACCCAGGTGACAGCAGAGATGTAAGCAGAAGGGAAGCTGCTTTCTTAGTGAGGAGATTCCTTCGCAAATGCTTTACTTGAAACAATTCTATTGAAATGTTTTCTTCTTCTCTGGGTTTTTGTGTGTGTTTGGTTAGTTGCTTGGTTTTAGATTTTCTGTTTATTTTTTTGGTGATGGGAATTGAACCCATGACCCAATGTAGGATAGGCAAGGACTCTACCAATGAACTACTTACTGCTTCAGCTCATGAAATGTCTCAAACTAAAATAGCAACTGAATTTGGTGGCACACTATACTCTGGAGGCTGAAACAGGAAAAGCACAAGTTCATGGGCAGCTTGGGCTACACAGCAAGAACCTATTTCCAAAGTTTAAAAATGAATTTTAAAAAAATTATAGAGGTAAGAACAAATCGTATAATAATGATGATACAATAAATCCTGATGTATGCTATTTCAAGACACATATCCAAAGCATTAGCATGGATAACTGTATAAAAAATGAAAAATACCCATTATTCACTAAATTAAGCTGGCAAAGTTATATTACCAACAATCTCCACTTCACAGAATTCATTTAGGAGCACCTAGCTACACCCTGAAATCTAGAAAGCCAGAAGCCAATGAGAGGAAGTGGCAGGCTAGGGAAAAGGAGGTGGGGTTTCCATGGCTCTCCAGATCCTACACCTATTCCCTGGTGAAGCCAGACAACATGGTCTTTGCATTCTCTGGAGAGAGGCAGGTACTCTTGTTGCGTTCGTTTGCCGCTAGACCTGCTGGAAAGAGCCTCCCATCACCTGCCTCTAGTCACATGATCTCAACAGCCATGTAGAGGTGTTCACCAAACACAGCTGTCCACACAGTGAGCAACAGACCGACTCACCATCATCCGGTTTCTTCACAAACTTGACGCCCAGTTCTTCAAATCTCTTACAGGCACTATAGACATCAGGAACAGCAATCCCAATGTGACCTTTGGTGATGACAGTCCCGCAAAAAGAAAACAGCATAGAAAGGAATATTACCCAAGTTGTACCCAAATGCCACAAATGGCTTCCAAAACTTACTTCAAAATACAAGGCCCTGGAAAAAGAGTTAACTAGGTTCAAAATCTATATACCTAAGAACTAACTGCTGTCTGACTAGCTGGTTATGATGAAATAGCTGCTTTGAATTGTTATTTTAAATAAATCAATACTGGCTAATGCATAGTTCAACCTGTTAGAACAATCTATACCAAAAAAGTTATCATGTATTCACATTTAATGGGTTACCTGTCGGCATTCACTACATTACACAACCAAAGCTTTCATTCTGTCATCTTGACAGGACATCTATTTAGATTTATTCGTCTTATGTGTAATGAGTATTTGGCTTGTGTGTGTGTATATGTACTATGTATGTGCTAGCGCCTGACAAGGTCAGAAGACGGCATCAATTCCCTGGAACTAGAATTACGGATGGCTGTGAACCACAGTGTGGGTGCTGGGAACCAAGCCCAGGTCCTCTACAACTACAGCAGTGTTCTGAACCACTCATCATCTCTTCAGCCCCTCGACAAGGCACTACCAGAAAATGGGGTTGCTATTAGCCATGGTTACCACTGTTCTTAAGTGAACACTCTCCGAGAGGGAGATGGAGGTACAGTTTAGCAGTAGAACGCTTGCCTGCCACATGCAAGGCAGTGGGCTCTATCCCTTGCCCTACAAGGTTTACTGGAAACACAATACACTGACTTTAACAGAATGATATAATGAGAAAGTAAACACAATGTTTGGACTAATACTAAAATTAAATAGCTGCTAAATAAATTTCCAAGAAATAAAAATAACCATATCCCTACTAAATTATGTGTGAAAACTAGGTCGCTCATGTCCTAGGCTTACTGTCAGAAGAGGAAATCAAATTCCCTGGAAGTAGAATTAGGGATATTGTACACCATGCAAAATCACACACACCCACAAACATCACATACAAAGAGGCAAACATACCAAATCCCCGAGGGTCTGAGTTGCCATTGTGGTAACTCTGGGTGTCATCATCTTCAGTGCCCCAGTTGCTACAGAGGAAAGGAAAACAATCTGTGATGGCTGCTCTTAGCTGTCACCTTAAGGGATCTAGAATCTACCCAGCAGAGGTATCTCACAGCGTGTCTTCTGGTGAATTTCCAGGGAGGAAGACCCACCGTCAACATGAGTAACACCATCCAACTGTCCTGCATCGATTGCTGCTGCTGCTCTCTGCTGATAACAGACTCGACCTTGTTGGCCTTCTGTCATGGATTTCATACCAGTGGTTCTCTAGGAAGCTCCAAGCCTTCTACCCCGGCTCAGGACCACTGAGGCATCCTGCACTGTGGATGGAGCAGCTGCTGGGCTCTCTGCTTCTCCAGCATGCAGACAGCCACTGATGAGACTACCCACCTCTACCATGTAAGCCAATCTGATGGTTCTGTTTCTTGAGAGAAAGAGCCTTGCCTCAGATAACAACTTACAGTCTCTGAAGAACCTATGAAGGGGATCTCTCTGAGGTCTTACTCTATATGCATGCTCCTATACCACAAACACTGAATTTCCACCTGCAGAAAGGGCAAGCTGGCAAATCTAGATTAAAAAGATGCTCAGACTCTGGCACCTGGATAAGAGCAAAAATAAGATCACAGCAGCTGTCACTTTCTACACTAAGTTCTAGATATGTCATCAAGTATCAAAATAAATCCATGGACTAGATTCTGAGATGGCCACCTAAGCAAGTCTTTCTGAATAAAGGGATACATACTAACACAGGCATACTGCGTCAAAGGCGCCTTTGTTAGTCCCTTAAAAAATGCAAGGAAAAGGGTAAAGAAAGTAAAAGAAATGGGAAATCCTTAATTCTGTGCTTTTAAATGGTGAGGTTATAAAAATGCCTTAAAATTTGAATGTTCGTTATTATATTCTATAGCATTTCTGGATCAAAAACATAGCAAAATAAAAGCATAAAAACATGAATATCAGAAGATCTTAAAAAAATCTTTAAGTTACAAAATTAATAAACTATAGTTTGGCAAGTCTCTCTGAAGTGTCAGGGTCTTAATATTCTCCCAAAGAAAATGTTCTCTTTGCCCTACAGATACCCTAAGAATAACATATTGAAAATTGCCAGGCAGGGGTGGTGCACACTTTTAATCCCAGTACTCAAGAGGCAGAGGCAGGCATATCTCTCTGAGTTCAAGGCCAGCCTGGTCTACAGAGTGGTTCCAGGATAGCGAGAAGACACAGAAAAACCTAAAATCATACACCATGATTGTGGTCACCAAAACTCTAAATAAATAAATATTGATTCAGACTGCTGGACACACACACACAAAAAATTAAATTAAATTACAATACCTTACGAAAAACTAGGATATATAAAGAGACAAAAATGCATACGCACTGTGTCAACTCCAGTGTAGCTTTTCTGGAGAACGTCCATGCTACTCTTTCATTCTTATCCTTGGGGATGTCATTTTTATCCTCGTAAGCTAAGAAATAGAGCGAAAATTTCATAGCAGGGAAATCTAACTTCTGGAGGAGCCTGGAATTAAAAGAAAAGCCAGAGTCATTTACAATAGCAAACGCTGATTCATACTAAATACAACATAATACTTAAGTCCTACTAGGAATAAGGGCTATATGTAATGTAATTACCATAGTGATAAAAGCATGGGCAAAAATTAGTGGGGAAAAGATCTCATTTACAGCTGTCAGTAAAGCACTTGCCATAGAAGCATGAGGGCCTTGAGTTTGAGCCCCAGCACTCGTGTGAAAAGCCAAGCATGGCTGTGTGTGCCTGCAATAGCAGTGCAGGGAAGGCCGAGACAGCCACAGCCCTGGGGGCTTGCTAACGAGCAAGCTTAGCAGGAACCAGTGAGGGACCCTGTCTCAAAAACCAAAGTGCATGAGCTGGCGAGATGGCTCAGAGGTTAAGAGCACTGACTGCTCTTCCAAAGGTCCTGAGTTCAATTCCCAGCAAACACATGGTGGCTCACAACCATCTATAATGAGATCTGCAGCCCTCTTCTGGCGTGCAGGTATACACGCAAGCAGAACACTGTATACAGAATAAATAAATCTTAAATAATAACAATAATAAATGTTCGGTTCCTAGGAAACAGCACCAAAAGTTGACCTTGGCCTTTATATATGGTGTGAAGTCTTGAGTGAATATGTATTGTTGACGTGGGCATGGCCACGTCAAGGGTCCTATCAAGGGTCAAGGCTTGGACCCCAGACACATCCCTAGGCTCAGGATGACAAAGCCTTCCTGTAGTCCAGGTGACAATGCTAACAGTGTACTGGCTTACAAATAATAGGCCAGTGTGTACAAAAGCTATCAACCTTAGCTTCCTCCAGAATGTTTACTGCCTGAGATTGCTGGCCTACAGGCATCTCCTACTGAGACCAGCCCACCCGTCTACTGATACAATAAACACAATGAGGCTCCAGGTTGCTGCTGTAGTTGGGGCCGCTCCATTAGAGTGCTCACTGACCACCTGACCCCAGCTTTCCTGTACCCCAGTATGTTTCTTCAGTGTCTGTTCTTTCTTCATTCCCACTGCACCCCAAGGTGTATCCAGGTATGTCGGTCGGGGGTCTGTGAGTCATCAATCCTTTTTTAATGTTCTGTGAGACATGACCTTACTGTGTCGCCAAGGCTAGCTCAAACTCACTAGATAGTGCTGGCTTCCAAGGGTGAGCCAGCACAATCAGCAAGCAATTATTCAAGTTTAATGAAATTTAGCTAGAATCACTGGGCTTATTTATAAAACAGGGAAGCTGTTTTAAGGCTTTGCTTCAGTGAACAATATAATACCTTTCCCTATCATTCTTTCAGGTAAACACATCTGAGTTCTTCAAAGCCCACCAGGAAAAGAAACTGAGGGTGGGCGACAGGAGAGAAGGGCAGATTATTATCACAGAAAGGGTGAATGTAAAACAATAGGGGGGTTAAAGTCTCAAATACTACAGAAAGGTGAAACAGGATTAAGACCTCAGAAAGGTCACAGGACATGGAAAGGTCCTTCGGGAGCAGCTTCAACATGGCAGAGCTAAAACAGGGGCCAGGAGGAAGGAGAGGAGTCAAGCAAGTGAGAGAGAGCAGCCAGCACCAGCTATGCAGATCTAATGCAGAGAAAGTGACAACAGGACAAGCAAGGGAGCAGAGGGCAAGAAATGGTCTCCAAAGGTTTAATCATTAATCAGTCTGTAGGCTTAAGAGAGTCAGTGGGATGAGGGGAGGCTTGGCAGGAAGAGCAAATAAGTCCCGAGGTTTAAAGGAGATAAGAAGTTACAGTTTGTTAAGATAACACACAAGCAGAACAATACACATAATATAATTTTTTATTACTGAGGATTTAATTACGCTCAGAGATGACCCTGTTCATACTCGAGAGCATGTGCCTGAAGCCGAGAAGAAGCACCACATCTGTGTGTGCATACACACGGGCACATGCACAGGCAGTGTCAGGTACATGTAAGAGGCTGACGCAGGGCATCCTCGCTCAACTGCTGTCCACAGTCTTACACGCACCTTCGACCTCACAGACAGCGTCAGTATGTGACCCTAGCTGGCCTGGAAGTAGGCCAAGCTGGGCTCAACTCAAAGAGATCCTGCCTCTGCCTACTGAGCGTACAGGAAAGGCTCAGAATCTTTGTCCCACAGGCAACAGGACTGCAGGTACGTATGTCATGGCGAGCACTTTACCAACTGACGCACGCCCCTGCACCAGAGTTCTGTCCAATCTTTCATCTACTTATCCCTGTGGCCAATATGCCTGGACCACTAGATTTATGGATCAATTAGCCACAAATAAATTTACTCTATAAAGGATCAAACACCTCAAAGAGAACCATCAGGAAAGCCATCTCTGCCCCTACGAAAGTGACTGCACCAGACATAATGACCAATCAGATGGGAACAGAAGCAAAGGAAGCAGCTTGCTTTCCACTCAGGAGTGAACCCAGCTGGGTGGGTGTCAAGTTGCACCCTATCCAGGAGCTCTTTAAAAACAGGTCAACAGGGGAGTCAACTGCACATGGACTCAGCTCTGCCGAGTGCCGGCTCTGGGGTCTGAGACCAGAAATTAGTTTCTTAGGACATAAGCTATGTGAAAGCGATCTGCTGCAAAGACTCAAGGGAATAACAGGCTTGGTGCCTGGCCATGTATCTGGTAGATTTGCTTTCACTCTGTCTAGTTCTTTTGTTTGTTTGATTGCTTGGTTTGGTTTGGTTTTGGTCAGGCTAGCCTCAAACTCCAGAGATCTTCCTGCCTTTGCCTCCCAGTGCTGAGATTAAAGATGTGCACTACCACCACACAGCCCGCTCTGTCCTTTAAATACGCTGTACACATATGGAAAACCACTTTTTCTGGAAGACACACACACAAGAAACCAAGCAGTTTGGGGAGAAGAGAGCTAGTCCTCTTTGATTTATATTTTTCAGAACTGGCCACATTTTCTAAGTATATATAATACAGCTGTATTACTTGAGCTATTCTTTTACAGTTGGTGGAAAGGAAATGAAAAGGCGGTAAATTAAAGATTGTTTCCTTTACTTGTTTATGTGTTATCCAAAACCTCAAGCTATTTGAGGAAACAAACAAACAAACAACAACAAGAGCCAAATTATCCTTTATACCTGAGTAAAGCTGATGGAAAAGAAAGCTCGGCGCATCAAAACACTCAGAGGATCGCAAGCCCTGGGGCAACGGCATCTTTAGCAAAAGAATACAGCCGTACACATGAACCAGGAGCTGGCTTAAAATAAATCCACTCACATTCTAAATGCTATGTTCTAACATTCATGATTTCAGAAGCAAATGGGGCTAAAGTCAGTCCAAGCATTTGAAGGGTCTGAACAAGGATGATTCATTTGGCCAGCTCTCGGGCAGAAGGGAAAATGAAACTGTATGCCTTCTCTTTTGTGGTCCTTGAGCCTGGTCCTCACATAAACAGAACTTAACCAAAGCCCTGTCCAGTCAGGCCTCCTTTCAGGCTCCTGTACCAAACAGGGAGGTTTGGGGACAACTCTGGGGGTCTCAGTTCTCTCCTTCCAACACTGAGCCACATTCTCCAACACTGTGTTTTTCAACATTAAGGCGCTAAGAAATATTTTACTTACGTCAGTCCAAGAACCCTCGTATAAAAATCCAGGGACTTCTTAGGATCCTTAATTCTTAGCATCGTTTGCTGCAGTAGAAAATCCTAAGGAGAAACAACAGCATACATGAAAAGTCTAACTTTCAACACACTTGTTATCAGCTTTCACCATGCTTTCTATAACTACAACAGCTCGGCATTTTGATACAAACAGAACACAGGAAGAGAAACCCTGTCTCCAGCCTCAGAGTACCTCCAGGAAGCAGTTCCCACACCAGCACTCATACTCCCAAGCTCTCTGCCCAGGGTTGTCCATCTGCAGGCTACAGGGTGGGGCAGCTGAGGGCCAGTGAGCTGCCTTCCAGGAATGCCCTTCAACTAACAGTATTTGAAAAAGCTGGCCTTCCTGCTCGTTAGTCCCTAAGGCTTAGGGGGAACTTTGTGGTTGTTTTGATTTGGTTTGGGGTTCCTGTGGCAGTATCTCACACAGCCCAAGCTGGCCTCAAACTTGTTGTGTTACTAACTGGCCTTGAAGTTCCTGACCTTCCAGCTTTAACACAGAGCTGTAGTTATGGGCATGAGCCTCAGCACCTGCTTTAGTGACAATTCTGAAGTGACTCCCACATCATCCCTCTGAGGCTCCCCAGTGCCACAAAACAATTTTTTTTTCCTGGCACTTCCCCCCTCCATGGGACTTGAGGTGATCACTAGCCTCTAAATAAAGTGCTAACAAGTGCATTCCTTCCCTAGCTGCATTTTGAGCAACCAAACAACTTTATTTGGCATAACAAAGACTCCAACTTCTATAATTTTTTCTTTCCCTTGGAGACAAGGTCTCATGCTGCCCCACCGAGCCTGAAACTCACTATGCAAATCTGAGCCAACCTTAAACCCAGAGATCCATCAGCCTGACTCTACTTTCCAAATACTGGGATTGAAGGTGTAAGCTACCATGCCCACTCCATAATATTTTTTGATGAATGTATAAACACCATTGCTGAATTAGTTAGAGAAGTGACCTCCCTCTTGCCCTCCCAGAACTTGATGGCCTGAATCACATGACCCCTCTGCCTTTCCTTTTTGAGAATTCTTTTTAAACAAGTCAATCAGAAAAAGGTTGGATCCCAGCCAATGGGGAAAAGACAGTCACCATCTATCTGCCTTCCTGTAAAAACCAAGAGTGCTTCTGGCCTCAGAGTGCTTGCTAATAATTGTGCTCTGGTACATTCTTTTGTTTGTTTGTTTGTTTGTTTGTTTGTTCGTGAGGAGAGGTTTGAGACAGGGTTTTTAAAATTTACCAGGGGAAACAGGGTTTCTTTGTGTAGCCCTGGCTGTCCTGGAACTCATTCTGTGGACTCAGAGATCCACCTGCCTCACTTGCCTCCTGAGTGCTAGGATTAAAGGAGTGTGCCACCACTGCCTGGCCAGTTCTGGAACACTCTTTGCAGAAAGAAATTGCCTTGAGAAGCTACTCTCACTCTTCCTTTGTGCCAAATGTAGGTTCTCTGTGTCTATCCATTTACTGGTAACTATGTGACCTTATAAGGCCCTAGGCTCCTGAAGAATCAAGAAGAAAAAAGGTATGCTAACATTTTTATGAAAATCTTCAGTTTCCACAGAAGGTGTAACTGAAACAAGGGTAGACAATACATAAATTCATAGTGTTAAATTACTAGTAACACTTTGGTTAGGAGCTGATTTCTTTAGGTACAGTAACCATTTTATTTTATGCTTCAGGGTTGCAAGTAGTCCAGGCTGGCCTTGAACTCACTATCTAGCCAAGGATGATCTTGAACTGATTAAATAATGTCAAACACAGGTCAAGAGGCAGAGCAAGCAACTTGTTGACAATGTAGGATTATTAAGAAAAAAACCATAGAGTAAGAGAGTCAGGAGTAAGAGAGACACACAGGAAGTAGAAGGGCAGGACATTCAGTTTGAAGGAGGATTTTTCAGACAGTGTAGGAAAAGGAGGGATTTCCTTCTGGGCTGAGGCGGGTTTCACCCCAGCATCAGGCTCTCAAGTCTTCATTGGTAAATAGACCGATAGAGATTTTGTTAAAAACAACACCTGTCTATGGCTGTGATGTGACCAGCTGCCTCAAGCTCTTGCCACCATGACCTCCCACCGTAATAGGGTGTAACTTGAACTACAACCCAAAATAAGCCCCCCCCCCAAGTTGCTTTTGTCAGGGTATTTTATCACAGCAGCGAGGAAAATAACGCAGCAGTGCACACCTTAAATCCCAGTGCTCGGAAGGTAGACGCAGGTGGATCTCTGTGAGTTAGAGGCCAGCCTGGCCTACAGAGTGAGTTCCAGGAGAGCCAGGGCTACACAGAGAACTCTGCCATGAAGAAGAAAGAAAGGAGGAGGAGGACGGGAAGAAGGAAGAAGAGGAAGGAGAATCACTGAAATACACTTTCAGTGGAAGTTTTGGTTTCCTTAAAAACTCAGTTATGTTATGTAAACATTTTTGTTTTACTCCCAAGTGTGGGATATGGGGCCGCCTTTAGTTTGTCCACAGCTGATAACTGCCCCGTGCAGGTCACGGAAGGACATGGTCTTTACCAGCTGCAGTTAGTGGAATTCTTCAGGTATAAATACCAGGAGAGAGACAGACCGACAAAGAAGGCTGCTGTTTCGCTGTTTGCTGGTTTGTTGGACTGCTAGATATACTGATGACTGAGACTGGGCTTGCTCAAGAACAGGATACCCTAACCACCTGGAAATAGTCTAAAGAGGTCTACGTCCCCTTTCCCTTCTAACTTCCTTTCTCTCCTACCTAGGGTAGGGAGATTGGAAGGGAGGTAGAGGTATAAGAAACACAAATAAAATAGAGATTACAAAGTAGTGCCAACAGTGGTGCCCCACTTTGCTTACAGCAGAATCCCTTTTTCCTCAACATGCTCCTGCCCAACTAAAAGCAAAAACCTACAAACTCCTTTTTGGTGGCGCTGTATTCCCTTCTCCTGGGGCAGCCCAGCAATCCATGCCCTGAATAAAGCTTTGCCTCTGGGCCTCAGTGCTGCTCTGGTGGTCTGGTTCTCTCACCAAGCCACATGGCACCCTGGCAGAAGGCAGCTGGATCAAAGCTCCATGTTTCTGGACCTAGGTTGCCTTTTCACATCCAAAACTGTCCTCCCCTTTGACAATCAGGTAAGAGAGATATAAGCAGCTCACTGTCCAGGCACTGACCTGGTTCTCCCCTCTCAACACAGCTATCAAGACACCTACAAAGTGACTCTGGGATTACAGTGAAATCACTTTCATGTCAGATGCTGGTCTAAGCAGAGACTGAAACAAGATCCTGAAACTACAAAAATAGCAAGCATCTCCCTCTCCCAGCGAATGTGAGTGCCTGCTGCTTCCCTGTCAATTACTGTGCTTTCATGGGGAGGCAAAGCACATGGAGAAGCTGATGTGCGCTTTTTGAGACCAAAGGCTTTCCTTGGCAGGTCTCACGAGAGAAAGCCAGCCTCTTCCACCCCACTGGGCTTGGTTACTGGCCACGGCACTACAGCTAGCTCTTGGGGTGTGAGATGGGGGGGTTGCAGAAACAGAGTCAGCTCTAAGCACTCCAGATTATCTTATCAAACATTAACTTGGGTTCTACTATAAGGAACTCTGAAGAAGAATTTAACTGACCAGATGGCCTTAAAATATGAAGATCAGGGTGGGAAAGACGGCTCAGCAACTAAGAGCACAAACTGCTCTTGCAGAGGACCTGGGTTCAGTTCCCAGAACCCCACACTGGGTAGCTCACAACTGTAACTCCAGCTCCCGGAGATCCAACACTCCTTCTGAACTCCACAGGCATTTACACTCACAAGCACATACCTACACACAAATAGGCATGATGCACATACTTAAAAATAAATCTTGAAAAAAAAAAAAAAAAGAGGGAGAGATCAGCCTTAGTTAGGTAAGTGGTTCAGTGCAATGACACGAGCACGAGGCCTTAAAAGCATCAGGAGACAGAAGAGGGTCAGAGACATGTCAAACAAGGTGAGGAGAGGTGGGGTTGCAGAGGATGTCAGAGAGAGTAAGCTGTGGGGCCTGAGAGTTCACCACCATTTTGGCCACTGAGGGCTGCTGGAGTGTGAAAGACTGCTGACTTCTGTACCCAGAGAGTTGAGTACGGGCCAGTCTTTGGTATTGTCATTTTTATGAAGCATCTCCTGCCTCGCTATTTTGTAAACACTGTTCTTCATCACCTTCTGATTGGTTAAATAAAGAGCTGAACAGCCAATAACTTAGGCAAGAAAGGAGAAGCAGGACCACCGGCAGAGATAGGAACTCTGGGAAAGAATCAGGAAGTGGGCACAGTTGCCAGATAGATGCAGGAGGAAGAAACAGGGTGCCTGCCGGGACTGTAAAAGTGAGAGGTAATGAGGCACGTGGCAGGAGACAGGCCAGGCAAGTATCATCGAGTTAGAGGACCTGAGAATCTGCCCAGATATAGTGCCTCAGCTAATAATAAATATAAAAGGTCTCCATGTCATTATTTGGGGCAGTCCCACAGAGAGTCCCATTTCTGACAACCAGCAAGGAAACTGGGGTGTCACCTGCACCACTAAAAGTGAGATCAGGCAACAGCCAGAGCTGGAAGCCGGTGCTTCTCTAGACCCTCCCATTAGGAACGAAGATCTGCCAGTCCCCTGGCTTTGCACCAGTAGACTCCTATGAGACTGCTACATGGCTGTGAGGTCACACACTTTGTGTATTTGTGTAGCGTGTCCTTGTGTACACAGGAGCTCATGCACAAGTGTGTCCATGTATGTGGAGGAGAGGACCTCATTTGGCCTGAGGCTGCCAGAGTACTCCAGGGATCCACCTATTTCTGCCTCTTCAATCCTGTGCTTAGGAATGCACACCATTGTGCCTAGCTTTTTTGCAATGGTCCTGGGGATTGCGCTCAGGTCTCCCTGGCTACATCCAACATTATTTGTCCTCTCTTCAGAATCATAAGGCATTTCTTTTCTCACAAAAAGGGAGGAAAAATATGTGAGAGGAATTATCTACCTACCTACCTATTTAGATCGATCGATCTATCTATCTATCTATCTACCTACCTACCTACCTACCTACCTGTCTTTTTAGAGTT